TGCACTTCAGTTTCCCCATCTGTAAAAATGAGGACTAGGAATAAATAATCTCCAAAGATTCTTCTCTGCTTTAAAAAAATCATAGTTAATGATACATGTAGTATATTAATCGATTCCTATAACAATTCTAAACATTATAGGCAACCTCTCCAACTCTATCCCACCTCCACCCTAACCCCTGCCTTTAGGTATTGTCTCTTGGGTTTGCTTTATAATAAACATAATATGTTTTTAATTAATGAGAACCTTATATTTTTAGGTAATATATTCCCCTCAATCAATGTGATTTTTTTAATTTATTTATTTATTTATTTATTTTTTAGAGAGGGAAGGGAGAGAGAGAGAGAGAGAGAGAGAGAGAGGGAGAGAAACATCAATGTGCGGTTGCTGGGGGTCATGGCCTGCAGCTCAGGCATGTGCCCTGACTGGGAATCGAACCTGCGACGCTTTGGTTCACAGCCCGAGCTCAACCCACTGAGCTACGCCAGCCAGGGCGATGTGATTTTTCTTAGTGTTAGATCTAGATAAAATCTTAATGTAATCTTAAAGCTAAAATATGTGGATTTTTATAGCAGTTTCACTTATTGCATGTGAGTGGGTCTCAATTAACACTATAATTTTGCTCCTGGAAGCTTAGTATAACAATGTATTTGAAACTGAAAGAGCAACTGAATATTGCTCTTAATTACATTCTTTTTTTGAAATTATGAAATTTTTCCTATAATTTTCTACATATATATATGTAGGTGTGTGTATATACAAAGACTCTCTTCTCAGTCCCCTAATTCTGTATGTATGTGTATATATATTCATAATTCTGTATGTCTGTATATATGTATGTATACACACATGTATATACTACACATTATATAAATCACATAATTTAAGTATATTTAAATTATATTTTAAATGTATATATTTTTATTATATACTTAATATATTTATATTGATTATTAATATATAATATATTATATTTTTATATAAGTATAAGGAAAAGACTCTCTTTTCAGCCCCTATCCCAGTCACTCTCTCCCAGAAGAAACCATCATGTCTATTTTCTGTGAAAGTCCCCAGAGACCACACTCACATGTGTGATCTTATTTCTCATGGACTAATTTTGATGTTCAGTGTACACATATACTCACATGTCGGCATGTGCTTATTCACGGTTGGGGTGAGTGAGCTGGCATGTGTGCCGTCTGTGCTCTCAGCACTGCAGTACATGTTCTGTTCCCTCCTCCGTAGGGATTAGAGTGCCGAGGGTCGGAGACGTGACATGACTTCCTCAGGGTCTCACCGCTAGTAAGTGGCATTGTCATTCCAAATGCTCACTTGCTTCTTAGACACTCCAGTTGTTTCTCTATGAAAGATTCTCCTTATTAGAAGACTAAAGAGAACTCTCAAAATTAACATTAAGTCTCAAAGAAAATAAAGGCCTGGAAGGGTGAGGGTGAGATCTAGGAGCGGTTCCTAAAATTATATGCCTGAACTTAAATCCCAGGCAGCAGATGCAGGAAGCGACCAGATATGGGGTCCCCAATGCTTGGCTGCTTGGTGGGACTGCGGGAGAACCAAGCTCCTTAAACCAGGGGAAAGGGTCTGGTTTCAGAAAGCACTTGAGCTGATGGGAATGGAGCAGAAGTTAATCCCCACCAGCCTGAGGCCTGCCTACATTTACATGGACAGAACTCCAGGACTCCAGAAAGAAGCCCCTTGCCGTGTGGCATTGGCTGACTCTTTTTGATCCATATCAGCATCACGGGAAACTTGGAGGCTCAGCGCTTGAGGGCTCAGAAATCCTCCTGGAAAGTCAGGAGGAACTGGGAGCAAGGGGGCATGTGCTCTGTCCTCTTTTGACAGAAGGGATATAGTTCATACGTTACCTTCAGTCAAAGGAGAAAGAATAGCTTCTGCTTACTGGGTATGTTTGTCTGACAGATCAGTAGGCTGAGTGCCCTTCCCTGGCATTTCATCTTCATTACACCTCTGTGAGATGGAGAGAGTTGAGGCCCATTTCATAGGTGATGGCGGCCTTGGTCATCAGAGCGTTAAGCCGCTTTGTAGAGGGCATGGCATTGAAGTGCTGAAGGCGGCAGCAAGACACCTGACTCCAAAGCCCGTGTTTTTTGCTGATTCTGTGCCTTGGGCTTAGAAGCAAAACAGACAAAGCAGACAACTGTCACCATGGTGGACATAATTAAGTCTATTAACCATTTTGTCTTTTATGGACATTTCTAGTCTTCACACTAATTATCTCTTGTTTAATTAGTGTCTTCTAGTTACTCAGTGAAAACATTTGATAAACTTAATTTCTTAGGATGAAGTTTGTTTTTTAATTATGCTATCTGAATTTATGTTGCAATGTAAACAACCAATCATTTACCTGGTAGCGGAGGCTTACCAGAATCAGTGTTTTGCAAACTATGAGTCATGGTGCATTAGCAGGTTATGAAATCAGTCTAGTGAGTCATGATCAGCATTTTGGAGAATAGAATAGAATAGAATAGAATAGAATAGAATAGAATAGAATAGAATAGAATAGAAAAACATCAGTGCATTCATTGCATGTAGCAAGAGGAAGTATCTTATGTGTAATTTCACTTCAGCAACATATATTTATGTGTGCATTAATTTAAAATGCATTTTTCACTACTGCTGGTCACAGTTTTTAAAAAGTTAGCTTTGGAAAGAGAAATGTGAACAGATGTATAATTCATTAAATTGTATATTGTTTTTTTCTGTGGATCGCTTGTCCTGTAGTTCCTCAGAGCACCATTAGCCCATTGGCCTAGGCATATTTCAAGTAGAGCTTTCTGGACATATCTATATGCTAATATTTCCCCAGATCATTGATTAGATGGATGTGCCTGTTAGATTCAAACCATGTTATGGACACTCAGGGAGGGCAAAGTGACATTTTCAAAAGCTGTGGTGAGTTAGTAGCAGAGGTGGGACCAGAATTCGATTATTTATGGATTCCTTCCAGACAGGAAAAAAGCAGGGTGAGCAATGGCTCTCATACTGAGGTCAGTGAACATCTGTTCCTTCATAGATGGAGCTAGAGAACAAGAAGGGATCAGGCTAGACCTGGGGAAGGATTTCCCTGTGGTAAGGAGTGGGCGTGTGTGTGTGTGTGTGTGTGTGTGTAACACCCCTCCTCGGAGGCCTTGGGAAGAAAGAGCAGGATCAATTCCCTTCTGCCATGGGGTCCTTAGGCGGGGAGGGGGGGGGGGGGGGAACAGGAGGGTGGAGAGCCTGAGTGTTTTCCCATCCCAAGATGTCCTTATTCCTTTAGCCACGCTCTCACCCTCTCCCATTAGCAGGCATAATTGGAGCTGGCTGTGTTTCTGTCCTCAGCCACGGATGGATGTGATGAATGCCGTGGTGTTTTGCTGGGCTGCAGTTAGCTTTGCTTTTCATCCGAATGTCAAACCAAGTCTGCAACAGCTGTGATCAGCTGTTGGAAAAAGGGGAGTTGAGTGTGGCGAGGGCAGCTCCTGGCCCCGTGCCCAGCCCTAGTCGAATGCTTAGTGTCCACCTCTCGGTTTGTCTCTCTTCTGTTGCTGACTCCATCGCTAGGCATTTTTCCCCCCTTTTCACGTGCAACTCTTTTCAGGTTTTTTTTTTCTCTTCTTCCTTCATCTCTCCTTGGGCAATTAGAAGTCACCATGGTTTGACATGAATCTTTCAGAACAGCTGGTGCATTCAGGGTAGGGGAAGCTGCAGAGAGCACCCACTTCTGAATCTCCCACCTCCAACCTGCTACCCATGGTAAGGTGCTCTACGGAGACAGGAGAAAAGCCTGAATTCAGCCAGACTTAGAGTCTTCCCCTGACTCCACCTCTTGTTGGCTGTGAGACCTTGGCCAAGTACTTGGACTTCTCTGAGTCTCAGTTCCTTCCTGTGTTACTTGGGGATGTCAATGTGTGCCTGAGAAGGCAATCAGGAGGATTAAATGAGAAAACTTCCAGAAAAGTTCCCTACTCAAGGGTGGACACAAATGACCTGTTTCCCCTCCCGGCCCCTCCTCAGGCAGATGCACTCGACAGCCATGCACTCTGCGCTGTGGCCCGATGCCGTCCCAGCTCTCCCTCCAGCCCAGGGCTTGCTTTGATTGTACTGAGCATCAAAACTTTGTTGAATTCCATGGAGGAAACAGTTTCCTAAAGAGTCATAAGTCTTCTGGTACCAGCTTTTGTCATTTTTCCAGGCTTGGAAAAAAGTGAGTCTGAAAATAATGAGACATTTTCAACATTAGTCATCCCAGGATGAAAAGGCAACCGTGAGAAGAAGCCCTGGACTCCTCCATGGGCCGAGAAAGAGGCACGAGTTCACATGAGGCCACTGACATTTCGTTTCTTAAGCCACACAGACAACATATAACTATAGCTAGAGGATGGTACTGACCAACCGTGACTGTTAACATCAGCCCTCCCTCCCTGGCTTCACCCAGCCTTCAGCTTGGTCACAGTCAGTTTCTTTGGGCTCAAGAATGCAGTCATCAAGTGAGACCAGTCCTTCGCAGGGCCCTAGTGTCAGAGCAAACACCTGGGCGTGAAGCCTGGGATCGTCCGTTGGTGCCTATATCTTCACTGAGCCCACAGGCTGCAAAGAACTGTATGACAGTTGGGTGCGGGGGTCTCCCTTCCCCTCCAGAACCCATAAGCTAGTGGGAACCAAGGTGGATTCACTGTTCCGGGGTCCTCTCATAATCCCTGGGCTCCTCTGGAAGGAGAATCCAGACAGCACAGGAAGCTTTTGAGAATGTCAGAGGGAGAGTAGGAAAAATATTTCTTGTTCTGACATTGGCTTTTTGGACATTGGTCTTTGTATTCCACGGACACTTGTTGTTTGGGCAATAGATTTCTCTCTCTGCCCCCTATTGCCCAAGTTGGAAAGCCAAGGGCTTGCCTGCAGCTTTGACCCTGAAGTTTCTTTAAAGCAGTGTCCGCCTTCCTCCATCTCTTCTCTATCTTAACAACACGTTTCTCTTTGGACAGGTTTAAGGATTACCGAGAACCACCGTGGGCCCCGAACCCATATGAGTTTTCCAAACAGTACTGGTCTGTTCTGTCTGCCCGTCTGGCTTTTGTCATAATCTTCCAGGTGAGTTATTTGAATAAGGAATTGCCAATTAGAATTCAAACTTCAAGAATAAAGACAGCCACGTCTCCTCGCCTGCCCCTCATCTCCAGGTCTGCATGGCACAGGGTGACACGAGGGGCCTGTGCATGTGGCAGGCAGTGAGTGCTCCCTGCCCTGGGCTGCCATGAATTGATGGATTTGCAGAAAGAGACGAAAACACAGAGTAAGGTTACAAGACAGATGTGGAGTAAGTTGCAGGGTAGAGACAGATTTCCATTTCAACCTGAGACAACGAAAGGAAGTGGGAAGAGCTGTGGAAACCAGAGTCTCCACTCTCATGCCGACAAACAGCCCCACCTGAACCTTTCTCCTCCTGGCCTTCTCCGCTGGCTCCCTCCTTTGTTAGCGTTGTTTTAGCCCCTGAGACTTCTGGTGGGAAGGGCCGCCAGAGCCATCCCTGGATGAATAGCAAACCTGAACCCAGTGATTGCTATCTCCGACAATAGCCGCAGCTCCAATTGCACCTCGGAGGTTCTCTGAGCTCGAGGCCCCCCTTCCCATTTGGGGTCCCGCCAGTCTTCCAGCAAGGCTGGCGCGCAAGCCCAGATCCTTTTCTCCTCGGCTCCCTCAGGCTTTTGTATGCCCTGAAGACAGATCTCTGGAGGGCTCTAAAATATCCTGCCCCCGACCCCAGCCCAGGAAGTGGAGAAGCCCACTGTCTAGTCTTTCACCTAAAGAAGACAGCTATTCTTCCTCTGGAGAGATCGGGCGATATATTTGAAAAATTGCTCAGACATCCCCCTGCTGCCCCACCTGCAGTCGTCGCCTCACTTTACCATATGTCCCATGTAACGTTCACTCGTGCTGCAGGGAGGTGCTGTAAAAGAAGAGAGCGCATGACTCGAAGCGACTCTAGGTTACCGAAGGTAGCCAGGTGCCTCTGGAAGCAGCAGTCAGTTCCCCAGGTCTTCCCCTGGGCTCCTAGAAGCATACAGGGTCCAAGGTCAAGCTGGGAATAGACTTAGAGTGTGGAAGACAGCAGTGCTGTTACCTCATTCTGGGCATTGTCACTGTCCTCTGTATCTCAGAGAGGAGAAGACACATTAGCATGTAATTGTCAGGCACAGAACACAACTGGAGTAGGAACTATTGTATGGGGTAGGGCGTGGTTGAAGGTGGCTTGGAAAATGGATGGAAACCAGATTATCAAAGTAGTGAACACTTATGGGGACAGGATGGTGCTGTTATAATATATTCACTCACCTGAATAGAAAATACTCCCAGGGAAACACAGTCTTATCCTACCTGTATTTACAATGGGGTGAGGGTGGCTTGGCAGACAGAAGGATGAAGTCAGTTACAAGTAGGTACAAAAGAGGGAGGGGGTCAGTGGTGATTTAACCAATTAACTAATTAATTAATTAATAAGAGGCAGGGTGTCCCGGGCAGACCGGTGTGACTAGAGTGGCTGGAATGGAGTGGAGAACAGAATGCACTAAGTGTGAGTAGTGGGTGGCGTTGGCCGAGGCCAGCCTTCAGTGTAGAAACCAAAGGTCCATTTCTGATCTGGAAGACAGAGGGTCAGATGCAAGAAAGAGAGAAGAAACTGGCCCAAGGAAGGCCCTGGAGAGGCCACTGGGCCTCGTGGCCACTTCCTAGGAGCTCTGGGGCAGGGTGTCTGGAGGCTTTGAGGCCAAGAAGACAGAGCGGGACCATGAGATGGGCTGGAGGAGGGGAAGAAGCAATGGCTGGCACTTAAGGAGCCCCACTGTGTGCGAGATAGTGACTTATGTAATCTTCAGACGACTCCAGGAGGTAGGTTCTGTTACTACTCCACTTTCTAAAAGGAGACACCAAGGGGCAATTATGCTCAATGGCTCAGGTCACCCACTAGTGAGTAGTGGAGCCAGAACAAGACACAGAGGTGTCTAGTCCCAGGTCTGTGCTCTTCACTGCTGCACGCTACCGCGAGCCCCACTGCTGAGACAGACACTCTGACGGGCCAGGGTAGACAGTGATACACTTGTGCTCCGAGGCTGAGCCTCTCCTCTCAACTCCTGTCCCCTGCTTTCAACAGAACCTTGTGATGTTCCTGAGTGTCCTTGTGGACTGGATGATCCCAGATATCCCCACGGACATCAGTGACCAGATCAAAAAAGAGAAGGGCTTGTTGGTGGACTTCTTCCTGAAAGAGGAGCATGAGAAGCTCAAGCTGATGGATGAGCCAGCGCCCAGCAGGCAGGGAGGGGTGCATCACAGCAGGAGGAGCCGGGCGGCCAGCTCGGCACCCTCCAGCCGCAGCCAGCCCGGCAGCATCGCGTCTTCTGGTTCTCAGCACACCAACGTGTGAGCGGCTAGCCAGCCCCACTGCCGAGGGACGCGGCGGCGGTGGCGGCGGTGCGAGACCACGGCCAAGCCTGCCTGCACCTGCGGGGTGCAGTGTCTGCCATCGGCCCAGATGTGGCACGAGGGCGTCTTGCAAAGGGTGTGTGTGTGAAGAGAGAGAATGAACGCGCTCAGGGAGGAAGAGAAATGATGCTGCCTCTCAGAAACTTCAAGCTTAAGTTTCTTTTAGGTCCTCTTTTGAGCTGTAGGCTGTCCGGGGATTGGTACTGCTTTGAGTTTACCAGTGAAAGAATGGAGCCTCTCTACCCCAGGATTCCCAGGCACTGAAATCAAGGATTTTACGACTTTGATTAAATTTAGCTTTCAATCATAGCTCTAGAAATCATATCTCTCTCTCTCTCTATGTATACATACTCTCAGAGGCCTAGCTCCGCCGCCCTTCCCCCCCACCCCACCATAATCAGCAACCCCCAAGCCAGCAGAGGACACTGGTGGGGACCCAAGTAATGATCACAAGGTCTGGATCTCTGGCAGGCTAAACCAAAGGTCTTGACCTAAGTTATGTTTTGGTTTCTAAGCCCTAAGATGGAATGACCCACTGGCCACCCTCCCATGAGAATGGACAGAGGGACACCAGAAAAAGAACTCAGAACTATCTTCAAGACTTGAAGAAATGATTTATTATTCTTACCTCACTGACCAACCAGCTCCCAGCATGACCCTGAAACCCCTACCCACAGTGTCTGGTGATTTTGCCCTAGATAATCTGTAACCTATACTCTATCGGAGAGTTGTTGTTTTTAGAGCCTAAGCGTCCCACCTCCAATTCAATATTGGAGTTTGGCCAATTCAATATGAAACCATTTTTTTTTCTTTCTGTACTGCACATTTCTGTTCATGCATATCTCTGGGCCAGTGCACACAGTCAGGCAGACTCAAGGAAAAACGGTGGGTGTCTGGTGCATCACCATGAGCCATCCCTGTGTTTCCTCAGGAGCCCTCTCATGTCAGGTGGCTGCAGGTTATGACAGAAGCACAGTCAGGGCCCTGTTCTACCTACCACCCATCATGAATGATCATCACCCCTCCCCTTCCACTATCACCCTGAGAAAATCCCGAGTCACTTGCACCTGGGGTTGTCAGCGCTTCAGCGGATGCAAATTAAGATACAGGGCTGGTTACTGTGGCCACTGGATCTGACGGTGAGCTGCAAAGTTTCGCACCTGGGCTTATCTTCAGTTTACATCACAGGGATGCTTTGCGCTAAATGCAACTAACCACCATTTTATGCAGATTCAGATTTAAGATAATAAAATAAATGGAAATATTCTTTATAAAGATGCTTTTTCTTGTCTTTGGTTTGCTCTTTCTCCCCCTCTCCTCTCCCACAAACAATATTTACTGAGCACGTACTATGTGCCAGGTATTGTTCTCAGACAAGAGATATGCAAGACAAAAATCCATCTCATGGAGTTTATGTCCTGGGGAGAGACAGACAATAAGCTGATAAATGTATAGTAACAGGAGCTATGGAGAAACAACAGGGATAAGAGATACAGGAAATGTGAGGACAACACAGGGGGTGAGGGACTTAACATATGAATTCATTTCAAACTCAAGATGATTAAGTGCTTATATCTTGCAGTGCTAACATCATTGATTGGTACCAGCCTCCCAGAACTTCATAGTGAGAAGACTTTCCAGTGTAGTTAAAACTGAGGGTCAAACATAATTCATCATTGCCTTTCACACACCTCAACTCCACCTACTGCCCAGAAACCAACTGCTCAGTCCTCTTCCTCTGGACCTGGCCCCAGTTTTGCAGGTCAATCTGACTAGAGTCTTAACTCAATGCCTGAATGGCCACAGCAAAGAGACCCATGCTCCAGAGGAGAAATGAGCGTTGTCCTACTATTTCAACACAACCTGTGATGCAAGGGCCCGTGGGTGCGTAAACTGGTAATTGTTGCTGCTTGCCCCCGGCCACATGCAGGATTGCATTGCCACCAACCCTTGTTCTAGAAAGTGGGTCCTTTTAAAGGGATACCAGGGCACAGACACAGCTGTTAGTAAGAGCAACAGGCACTCATGTCCCCAGCCACTCATACACAAGAAATCCCATAATAAACTTTAATTACATCACACCTTAATGTTCAAACTGGTCATTTGAGCCTAGAGTCTAACAGTAGTATAAAAACATTGCATCACCTTACAGCAGGCTTCTGTTAATCTGGGGAGAGTGAAGTGGCCAGCAGGAGGAAAGTTTCACTTCAAGGGACATTAATGGCATGGAGATTCCAGGCCCATAAAAAGGAGGATATCAACCCCTGTTTTCCCAGTGACTTCTACCAGCATGGGCAGGATTGATGTTTCCAGGAACCAGTGGTGGTCCACAGTCAGAAGGTGTCTCCACCACCCAGGTACCCACTTTGCAGTGAATGAACTATACCCAAGCCCACTGGTTGCCTATGTCTGGTTCAAGATCCCACCCTGCCTTTTTCTTCCTCCTGGCTTGATGCTAATAGGATTTGGAAATTCATTCTTGTAACTCAAAAATTTCACGAGAATATGTCTTGATAAGAGTGTCTTTTGTTTAATATGCCTGAAATGGGGTGATTACATTCAGTCTGCATATTCACTTCGGAAAAGTGTTCTTCCAATACAAGAATGGATTCCAGTGTGTCCATTCCAACTGTTCTGGTTACTTTAAGAAACCACAAGTTTTAGACTGGTTTTCCAGTTTTTGAAATCTTCATGTCCACCTTTTCTTTTTCAACATCTTATTTCTATCTTTCAGGACCACGCCCATTCCAAAATACCCCTCCCACTAGAATCAGTCCATCTACAACAGGTCCTCAAATAACACAATTTCATTCGATGTCATTGTTATATTGGTGAGAGAAAAAAATTGATTCCCACCTGGGGCCACTGTCATGTGGAGTTTGTATGTTGTGCCCTTGTCTGGGCAGGTTTTCTCCAGGGGCTCTGTTTTCCTCCCACATTCCAATGATGTGCACGTTGGGTTAGTGGGTGCGTCTAAACTGTCACAGTTTGAGTGAGTCTGGTATGTGTGTGAGTAATCCCACAATGGAAGGGTGTCCTGTCCAGGGGAGTGTGCCCACCTTGTGCCCTGAACTGCTGAAATCGGCTCCGGCCACTTGTGACCCTGAACTAGAATCAGTGGGTTGGAAAAGAATGATCTTACTTGTTTTTATTAGTCTTTCTTAAATGTATATGCAGCTCACATGTACTTCAAATGTTTAATATTAAAAATACTTGAGTCTTTTTTTAGAAGTTTGATGATTTTTTTCCAAAGGAACTTAACTCTTATTTATATCCATTAGCATATGGTAAAATTGAATTCATTATATGTATGTCATTTCACTTAAATTCACAATATCCAAGAACCATTGAAGTGAAAGCTTACTATATAATCTCCAATATGTTATACCAGCAGCCTCTAAGCTCTCACTTGTATGAATCCATGGATAATCTAGAGGAGAGGTGATTTCCCCTAACTCCTCAGAACCCTATTCTTCTGAACTTCCTGTGCCACTGCTGGCCTTACTTTTACCTGAAGCATGTATTTTCCCACAAACATTCCTTGCTAGTAAATGAGGAGGTTGAACTTGGCAGGCGCTAACTTCCATTCCTGTCCTGACATGCGCAATTCTACAGGTTCACCACAGCATGGCAAAAATGAAGAGTATTGGGTGTGCGTTGATGGCTCAGTATTATCTTTCACGTTACCATTCTACTCATCTTTCAAAACAGGCCCTGAGCGTATGTGTCTTGGGTATTCTAACCCAATTCTGTCAGTGTAAGCGTTGTCGGAATTTCCACATTGGCTTCCACCCCCAGTGGTATCTGATCTGCTCAGCCACAGTAGAGGGCGCCAGAGAGCAGAAGTCCCCACCCCTTCAAGGCTTAGCCACACATTGTGGAAAACAAAGCGGATGTTTCCTCAGAGTGTCTATTTGCTTACTGGGTTAGCCTCCTGCCCCCCTTCCCCTTCTTCCCCGTTCTCCTGCACTGCAGTGAAGGGCAGTGCCCCAGACCGCTATCCCTTTAGACACGTTCTCACCAGGACTCTCATGCAGTCACAGTGGGCCTCACTTATTCTTCTGACCTCCCCATGTCCCATGTAGCTTTGTCCGCAGAAAGAAAGTGCAGGGCAAAAGTCCGATGGGAATTAAAAAATATATCTCTCTGTAGGAGTTTAGGAGACTTTGTGTTTTACTGCCTCACTTTTGCTCACTTCCTGTTGGCCTAACAGAGCAGGTGGAGGACTCAGGCTTCCATGCCAGGATGTCGTCCTCAGTTAGGAAAATGGAGCCGCCCACCCCAAGGAACAGAGGCAGGCATTTGACAGGGATCCCGCATCCTAACCTGCTCCTGGTTTCCCTCAGTGTGACAGACTCTGGTTGGCCTGCCTATAATTCTTCAGAAAGTATACGTCAACTCCTATCAAGAACCACATCTGCTTGGTCTGAGAGAGGCCGCTAGCTGAGAAACAGATGAGGCCCCCAAAACAGGCCTCTTCAACCCTTTTCCATGGACCTCATTCTTACTACACTCTCAGGAATCTTTCTGTCTGCCTTATCAACTTCAAACTTGGCTTTCTTAACTGCCAACCCCTAACTTCACTGTGCTCCACCTGTTTCCTTTGATTCTTTTTTCTTTGCCCAGATTTATTGCCCACTGTTTTATTTCCTCATCACGCTGCAGGGGCTCGGTCCCCGAAGGTCTCCAAACTCTTTCAGCCTTACCACATATGTGCCAAACCCAGCCCTTACCTAGGAACTCCGAGATATTTGTAGTAAGCCAGTTTTACCAGCCTAGATCCCCCTTCCCCACAGGGACATCCTCTCTGGGGCCCTGGCGGTATTTCCTACCACAGATCCACTCTGATAAATGCCTACTTTGGACTATGAGTTGAGAGTCTCAGACAATCTAGAAGAATCCATTTGTTTTCTACCCTCCAAACCAGGCTGAATCAAAGGGTTTGCCTCTCAAGCAGCAAAAGTGTCTATTCTCTCTCTGTCCTGAGCGATGCAATCCTTCATTACATAAAAGGAAACCTCTGTGTCAGCCATCCCTGAATCAGGAGGCTTTCATTTGACCTGGCAGAGATGGTGTGTGGAGCAACGGCAAAGGATGCTAACATTGTGTCACACACAGAGAAAGCACTTGGGACTTCTGCTCAAGAGTCCAAGGTGAGGACGTCGCCGAGCTGGAGTGAGGCTGTTGTCAGCCTCTCCCCAGAGCCTGTGCTCCTCCCCGCTCATAGGAGAAAAAGGAGAGGTGCATTTCTCAGCAGCCCATGTTCATGTAAAGTGTGGAGACAGTCTTTCATGCGGTGCCAAGGGAACTTACTCTAATGGAAAATGCACTCCGTTTTGCAGCCAGACTTGGGTTCTAGTGCCCACTCTCCCAGTGGGGCAAGCCCCATAGCCTCTCTGAGCCACTTTCTTCATCTGCGACAAAGAAATGATACCACTCTGCCGAGCTTTGCTTGTGTTGCCCTTGGTGAGCCCCAGAGCACAAGGTCGATATGAGGAAAGGATGATGTCATGAACACCTATGTTTCTAAGGAGATGAACATTATCATCAATAGCTAAGAGAAATGTAGTTGTAGTACGAGATCTATTGGTAGAGACAGTTGTGGCCAGCAGTAAACCTAACGTCCAGGTGGGGCAATTCCAAGACGCCTGGGGATGGGGGGCTGGCACAGTACCCAGCACTGCCTGGTTAGTGTTCTCGACATCAGCACGTTTGCTAAATTCCATTTCGAACTGCACCTCCAGATGAGTAAACTATGGAGGAAGACCTCAGATGAGATGTCACTGCCCAGGATTCACTGAAGAATTATTGTCTTCTCCCCCTGGCCCCACTTCTGTTAACATGCCTTGGCTTTTAAAACACATGCCTTCCTCGCTTTGACGTCGAGTAAGTATGTCGTGGTTTTTTAAAAACATTGCACCAACTCCATCAAAAACATATCAAGTGATGCCCAAGTATAAGTTTCCATCTCTAGACCATGATTTTCAGAAAATGCATTAATCTAAACTAATTTTTCATGGTTATTGTGGTTTCCTTGAGTGGTTCCTTATAAATGTCTACCAAAGAAAAGAGAGTTTATTGTGGGAGCAGGGGAGACTTCAGACTGAAATGCTTCATCATCAAGACTGAAATTTCCTCAGAAGAAAACTGGCTTTTCTACTGATCCTGAGATGATTACTTCATAGCGTCGAAGCTCATCTGGGATCCAAGATGGTGGCTCTGGTTAAACTACCGCCAGTTCCAGATGCCACATG